TCATCATCATCATCATCTTATTATTATCATTATTATTATTATATGATGTATGTGTGTATGTATATATTTTTTAACACGCCCGCTAATTTCGCGACTCCGGTTCATTAGTCATCTTAGACACGCCCTCTTTTGGCGATTGCGGTTCATGATACGTCTGAAACATCCCCCCCTCTGTTGGCGATTCCGGTTCATCATATATCTTAGACTGGCCCCCTGATTTGGCGATTCGGATTCATCATATATCTCAAACACACGCCCTCATTTGGCGATTCTGCTTCATCACATCTTCAACATGCCCCCTCTTTTTGCCATTCCAGTTCATCATTCATCCTCATGTCGTGGCGATTCGAACTCATCGTACATCTCAAACACGCCCCCTCTTTTGGCGATTTCGGTTCATCATATATCTTGAACACGCCATCTCATTTGGCGATTCGGACTCATCGCATATCTTAAGCAGGCCCCCTTTTTTGGCGATTTCGGTTCATCATATCCTGATGTTCATGTATCTTAAACACGCCCCTTCGTTTGGCTGTCTTAAACACCCCCCCCTCGCTTGGCAATAACTCAGTGAAATTCGAAAACAACACAAAATGAACAACTAACACAAAATCCATGGAAACCAAGTTGAAATCCGGCTCATCATATTTCCTACACACGCCCCCTCATTTGGCGATATCGAGTCATCATACATCTTAAACATGACCCCTCTGTTGGCGATTCCGGTTCATCATAGCATATTTTAAACACGCCCCCTCATTTGGCGATTCCGGTTCATCATCGCAAGCGGCATGCGTTTTGGATGGCCTGAATGTTAAGCTCACCTCGCTCCCTAGCCGCTAGCAATATGAAAACATATCTCACTCCTTCCCGGACGGAAGGAGTATGCGTTTTGGATAGGTTCTAGACAAATCATGCCTCCTGCGGCATGCGGGCCGAAAAGAGCCCTGTTTTTCTCCAGGGATGAGCATCGCAGAGGCACCCAAGCAACGAATGTGCCAAGCGACCCAAAAAAAAAAGTTGCTAAGCGACCCCCTTCCCCTCTTTCCCCTCATGTGGTTCTCTCCATGTCACCCAGAACTGGTGCAAAGCTCCGCTTGGCTTTCGGCTATAGGCAGACGTCGATGGGCTTTGCCTGCCGCATTTTGCCATGCTTCGCGGCACTCTCGCTCGTGTGCGGAGCCCTAAACTCAAGTTGCAACAGTGAAGAAGTCGTGCATCGACTGTCGCGAGGTCTTCCGCGCGTACAGTGCACCACCCACTCCGCGGAAAGCTGCAGATAGTAAGGCTCCAGCTCCAAGCGTCCATGAGCTCGCCAACCTTGCAGCGAGCATGTTGAAACGTAACCGGGCAGTTGGCGCCGCCAACCATGACACGAAGGCTCAGGCAAGTGGAGTGGAGACGGCGGCAGTCAAGGCCATGGGTCCGAAGATGAACAAGGACCTATGCAGACCCACAGTCTACCCGACCTCACAGCCTTTTTTTCGTTCGGCAGCAGTTGGACCCGGGCACATCAAGATCTTCTGGCCAGGCCTTGTCTTCGGAATCATGTCCTCTGCATCCAGCATTCTGAATAGACATGGCCTCGGCGACCATCTCCACCATATAGAAGTCCTGAAGGAATCTGCGGATGCTCTGCTGCCCTGCGATGCCTGTGTTCCCGAACGTGCTTGGCTTGCTACACGTGCTAGCCGAGGTTCGCTGCCACCAAACATCACGGCATAGAAAAATGTGAATGCAAACTGAGGCCACAAGTCTCGAATCTTTCGTGTGCCGAGCGGGGGTGCCTCAGCCATGTTAGTCTGGTCGATTTAAGTTTGACAGACCCTCGCTGCAGCTTTCTTTCAGCCAGCCTCATCGGCATCGCGTATGCCAACTGACTCCATCTCCTCGGTGTGTTGTTCGCACGTGCAGCCTCCTCGCGAACGCGAGAAGCTCGTGCGCCTCGTCTGCAGCTACGGCCGTCCAGCCGTCTGGCTGCAGGCCACAGGCCTGTCAATCTGATTCAGCTGGCGGGGGAGATACTGTGTGTGGACCAAAGAACTGTGCACTGGCCGCATCCGAAACGACGCGACGCAGTCGATGACGCTCGCGACAACAGGAAAAACTCCGAGGATTTTGTCAGCTTCGGGAGCCTCACCTTATCATCAACCGAGACCGAGTCATTGCAAGCTTCGAGACAGTCATATCGAGTCCTAACATTCGACATCATCCAATGCCTCGAGACTGGTGCGAACATGTGCAAACCGTCTCGAAGATCCCGTCTACGGCAGTTTACTCGATGGCACTCGGCTCCAGGCCTGGTGATCATTTCGTGTTTCGGGCCGCAGCAACTAAGTTTGTGACAACATCGACATTTTGTCGGCAGCGACGCGGCTTCGACGGCGGTAGCGAAGGCACGGAAAAGATCTTGCCATCCCCTCAGCCCCCTTAGAATCTCATGGCGACAGCCTGTGCACAGCCGACCAGATATCCATGCGCTGGAAAGCTACTTTCAAAACTCATCGCTGCTCCTCGGGACTTCGCCGTAGCAGAGTTGCTGATATAGGGGCCAGCAGAAGATTTGCCGCAGAGCCCGCCTGGGAGTCAGCATTCGGCCACACATGGAGCAGACTTTTGCTTGAGCAACGAGGTCGGCTCAAGAGCAGCTTTTTGCCATCCATGGCTGGCGACAATGCCCGAGACCTCTGTCCAATGCAGAGAAACTCATACGACAGCCGAGCCAAAACTGCCCAGCTCCAGATATGGCATGCTGGCACAGAAGCAAACTTAGCTGACAGCACACTTCCCGATGACCGCATTCCCCAGCCACTGAAAAGTGAACACAACCTTGCCGCGTACGTAGTCCCATGCCGATGGTGGGATAACCTCTTCCAAACTTGCCATTCTCAGTTCTTGACACCCACGGCTCGGCCACGGCGCCGCTGAAACCACTGCCTAACTTTATGGTTTCACGGGGGTGACTGTGCGATCTTCTTTCATGCAGAAACCCCTCTATCGCAACGCTTTCGCACGCTCTTTCGCGCCCGTCGCCAGCGGTACAACCAAACCACACTTTGCCGCTTGTATGCTTGTCACATGGAAGTAGGAAACACTTGAGGGCTTCATGAATAATGCCCTGTGCCTGGATTTGCGGCCTGTTTCGCTCATGCGGCTTTCACTTAAGGTTTGGGACATTGCCAGTCTGGCCAACGGCTTGACGGCGCTCTGTCGCGCACCTTTTGCGGATTCGGGCAAGTGACTTGCGTTTTTCAACTCTGTTAGTGGCGGATGCAGTGGCCGGGAGTAGTACTGGTAGCAGTAGCACGAGCACTAGCAAGAGCAGTCGCAGTAGCACCAGTAGTAGTACGCGCTCTGGCCTTATTTGACGCTGTGTATTCTGTGCATGCATGTGCAGAAACACACGGCAGGGACGGCACTTCAGCATTCAGGCATTGTTGTGGACCGAGCGCCCTGACACGCTGGCTTTTTGGTTCGAGTGGTAGACATGCCTCAAGCGAAACATGCGTGCCCCAAGCCCCCAACCCCCCCCCCAAGCCAAGCCAAGCTAAAAATAAGTACTGAAAATGTATTCCAAGGCCCTCATGAAAACGCAAGGCCCTCATGGGAATAGCAAGGCCCTCATGGGAATAGGCAAGGCACTCATGGGAAGAGCAAGGCCCTCATGGAACAGGCAAGGCCCTCATGGAACAGGCAAGGCCCTCATGGCAAAGATAAGATGAAACAGTATGGTATGCATGTTCCCGCTTTGAACAAAACCCCGAAACGAAAGGACCCCAAGAAA